AAAAGAAAGAGAGAGAGAGAGAGAGAGAGAGAGATTCTAATCTTGTTCTTAGGGTAACTTCTTCCTCGTCTTCCACATCCTCACCACGTATCTGGGCTCGAAAGATCTCCTCGGGACGGTTGGTGTGGTCCTGGGGGTAGTCTTCGAATGGCTGTACCTGGCGACGCTCGTGACCTGCTTCGTTCTCTCCCTGGGTAACCGACCGCAAGGATCGAACAAGTTCTACATGACCATGGTGTATTTCTGGGTTTTCATCATGATATACTTGATGTTCGCAGCGGTCTTTGTGACGGTGAAATCGATCCAAAAGGAAATCGCGGACCACACTTTTACTTTTGGGGATCTGTTTAGTAACAAGCAGTTCTTCACGCTCATTGTGTCCCTGGCATCGACGTATGTGATGTGGCTTGTCGCGTCGCTGATCTTCTTCGACCCGTGGCACATGTTTACGAGCGTAAGCTTCTCCCCCTCCCCCCAATATCCCAAGCGTCGTTGGATGTTGCTGACGTTGAGCAGTTTATACAATACATCCTGCTGACTCCGACATACATCAACGTGCTGAACATTTATGCCTTTTGTAACACGCACGATATCACTTGGGGTACGAAAGGTGATGACAAGCCCGAGAAGCTGCCGTCAGCGAACATCAAGCCCGGCGGCAAAGTCGATGTGAACATCCCGCAGGACGACGGAGATCTCAACGCGCAGTACGAGGCGGAGCTGGCGAAATTCGCGACGAAGCCGCCCAAGGAAGTCAAGGTGGTCTCCGAGGCAGAGAAGCAGGAGGACTACTACAAGGGGTTCCGAAGCGCGGTCGTGCTGGTGTGGGTGTTCTGCAACTTCGCGCTGGGGGCGGTGGTCCTGAGCACGGCGGGATTGGAGAACTTCAACAGCGACAAGAACGTGACGGAGACGGAGAACGAGCGGGCCAACATCTACATGTCTGTGGTGCTGTGGAGTGTAGCAGGACTGTCACTCTTCAAGTTTCTTGGGGCGATGTGGTTTTTGGTTGTTAGAATGGTAGGCCGGCCATCAACCACGTCAAGGGTCTTACTAACTCGAATTGCAGTTCCGCGGCGTTTGATCATGCGGTTCCTTTTCCTCTGGCACGATTGTATGCGGTTTGCCACGACTTATGTTATATGTATATGTATTCGGATATGACTTGTGTCTGTCTGTTCAGCATGATGTATGCGATGTATGCGATGTATGGATGTATGCGGTGGGGGTACAGTACGATATTGATATGAATTGGACACGATACGATCGATGATGGTTTGATGATTCTTTTTTTTTTTCCCCTTTGCCCCATGCGAAATGAAATGACTAGCCAATGACCCCTCCACGATCAGATCAGATCAGATCAGCTCTGTCGAATTGATCTTTGTCCTACGCTACGCTTATGGTGTGTTATCTTCTCGTCTTTTTTCCTTTGTTGTTTTTTGTTTTACAGGAGGACCTCGGCGGTGGAAAAGCGTCAGTTTTGTTTGTCTGCTTGTTATTTATTCTGCTCATTGCTTATTAATTGATGAAATTGATGAAAATTTGATTTGATGTCCTGATAATAAATCAATAAATATGTCCTATCTTGTCCAATATATGAATAAATAAATGATTGACTATTGACTGATTGATTGATTGATTGACTGACTGCATGTGAGAAGAGTAGCTCGTTAGATAGATAGATAGATATATGACTATTTATTTTAACTGTTTGTTTCTGGCATGTAAGGAAATTAGCTAGCTAGGTAGATACCTACCTACCTACCTACTAAGGTAGGTACTGTACAGTACATAGGTATATATGAGAATGTAAGAGGATCCAGCCTCTCTCTAGCTTGCATCCATCCTGTCCTCTCTCATCATCATCATCATCATCTATCGATCTGGTACCTAGATCTAGAGATAATCAGAGCGAGCATCTGCGGCTCTAATCAATCTGTCTATCTATCTATCGAGACTAATCTATATCTATATACATGCTAGAATACGATAGATACCCCAGCAAGCAAGCAAAACCAAACCAAACAAACAAAAACAAAAAAAAAAGAACAAGGGTATAATTTCAACTCCATCACTCACCCACTCACCCACTCAGTAACTGATTGATTTAATGATTATTCTTCGACTCCACACACAACGCAATCCCCCCAAAACAAGAACCATCCCCACCCACGTCCGGCCCGAAATGACCTTGCGCTCAACATACCACTCGCCGAGGACAGTGAAAAGGAAAGCCATCGAGTTGGTGATGGGGACTGTGAGGGAGAGTTCTACAGAAACCCCCAATAATAATTAGTATTAATTATTTATTTTTTGGCGTGGTGATGGTGATGGGACGGGGTGGTTACCGTGCTTCCCAACCAAGAGGAAAAACCATACACTACCCGTCAGGTTCAGGACGAGGGGGATTGCGTAGCCCGGTGTGCGGAGGAGATTGATGACTGTCCAGAAGAGGGAGGTGAGTTTTGCGAGGAGGAAGGATTGCGATGGAGATGGAGATGGAGATTGCGAGGGACGCGCTGCGGGGGTTGTTGTATGCCTCCTTCCAACGCGTGCTCTTTCGTTGTTATTGTCATTGTCGTCGCCGCTGTCATCATCATCATCGCGGTAACTCTCGCCCGTCGACTGCATCTGCGTCTGCTGCTTTCTGGCAGCCTCCTCCTGCCTCGCATTAAACTCCACTGCTGCGCGACGGATAAACGGTGTCGTGAACCCCCATGCTAGACCGACGAGGATGAACGAGAGGACGTAGTTGAAGACGGGGGGTTGTTGGTCGGAGGGGGGAGTGCCGTCGGGGTCCATTGCATAAGAAGTAGCCACGGGATTGATTGCGGGAGTAGGTAGGTTGATCGATTTGACGAGAGGGGTCTCCTCTGCTGGCTGCTAAGTTGAGGATATGCGAATGAGCGAGTAATGCTGCATCAGTTGGGTCAATGTCAATGTTTGTATACAGTACGGGGTACAGCCTGGGGCTCGGCATACCTAAGGTTTAGCGGCGGGGCGGAGATGATTATCTGCGCGGGACGAATTAACCCCATTATGCAGTACAAACTCTCTGTACAGAGTACAGCGGTTACTTAACGTTTAATTTAATGAAAGAAGAAAAAAAGATTACAAGTTTTAAATTTCCAGCGATATAAGAGATTACATATATGCAAGAAGATATGACAAAAAAATATGTACATACATACAAAACAGATAGGGTACCAGCTCCACCAATCTCACACTAGCATGCTCCAGGTTACCAGAGGGTAATATGAACAACTAACTTCCAATCTTGTACACCTTTGTCTGAACTGCAAACAAGCTGGAAACAGTGCTCAATGCTCATCCTAGGTAAGGTTCTTAAGAGGTGAGATAAGCTGACAGGGGTAAGTAAAGAAATACAGCTAGCCACACAACCCTCTTGTGCAGCTCGCTGCATTTACTCAACATTCTTTCCGAAAAACCACCATGCAGAACAGCAAGTCGGCAAGGTCCCAAAATCCATGATTTTCAATGCGAGGTTTCTGAGTCATGTGATTTTCCTTTTTAGGCTAGTTGAGGAATTTGACCGCCTGCTGGATATAGTATTGGAAGTTACACCGCTATTACGGAGAAGGGGCATTCTGCTGGCAGAAAGGGCCTCGTTTTATTGGTGGACCACGTCGGTTTAATGGAGGTCAAAGACAGGATATTATTTCAAGAAAAGCGGATGAAAGGGGAGAGAAACAAGAAGGGTTATCATCGAATATACATATCTATTAGGGTCCATGTAATGTATGTACATACCTTCGCAGCAACTCCCCAATCTAGACAGTAGATAGATAGATTACCGCGGGAGCATCCATATGGTATTCAGCCAGCCACCTGGGTACATACACACAATGATTAGGTATTCGTGGAGAAAGAGGGCCAACTATCGAACTCTACATAGTCAAAAAAAAATACTATGTGCTGTACTACTACTCAGGGATGATGTCACAGTGGACTGCGATGCAGCTGCCACCCAATATGTACCCACAGTAGTCTGTACTGTACCAACCGATTGGAAAGTCTAAAATTTAAAGTCAAAAACAACCCATTTTTGTGTCTACGGACCCGCTAAATTAACTAGCTGAAAACGGCGACATTGCACTGCTTCCCTGATGGAGGGTATGGACAGTATGCTGGGTACAGACAGTCATGAAGTCATCGTCTCTCTCGTCCATACGATAATACATACGTAGGTAGGTGGATGTATTCCGTTCTTTTCATGGTACTGTATGTACAGTACATCCATAAGTGCTTATGGCAGCTTCTTCCCCGCTCCATGCTCAATATTAATACAAGATTAGATTCAACTCGAACAACGAACAAATCCACACGAATACTAATGAGAAAATAGAGTTGGATGGATAACTAGAGCAATACTCCTGGTACTGTACATGTAATTTAAGGTTATTGATGAATTTCTGTCTATCACTTAGATACCTAAGAAAGAATATAATAGCCAAACACTATACTATAAACCAACCAGAATTCCATACGATTAACAGTATTCACTGTACAGTAATAAGATATAAGGGGGAAGGTGGCACGTTCGGCGTCATAGTATTATTACTATTTGGTTTTATTATTATTGCACGATCTGCCGATTTAAGCTCAAGCCACTTTGCCTTGGTCTAAAACCACTAATAAACTATATCAGGATTTTGGGTCTTGTCTGTCTAAGATTAGTCTGGTATTCTTAATCTTTGTCTTTTGTCTTGTTTTTGAGTCATTTTTTTTTTAAAAAAAAGTATGGGTCTGCCGTCCCTTTCGGTATTGAGGCAAGGCATTTCTGCCCAAAAAGAAAGAAAGGAAAAACAAATATTTGAGATTGTCGTTGAGTAAACCAAAAAAAATGGAGGGAAGGTTCATTGTCGCTGGCGGATAGCAACATGCTACCTCATCGAAATTATTTCCCATTGAGTGGAATTGGCAGAAAATAAATGGGATTTTTATGTACAGTACACTGCCAGCATAGTCGGCCTTCTCGACCAGAATATTGATATAGATGGGTCGCCGTTTCCTTTGCTCACTCAAATTCGAACTAACGGGTCGTCAGCTGACCAGGCAAAGTTGGCTAGGTAGTTCAGGTACAGATTGTAGGCCACATCCTTGGAGATGTCGCTGTTAGCGAACAGAAAATTACAGAAAAAGACATTAACCTGTATGTAATACTCGAGTGATCAATGTTCTTTTGGGAAAGAATTCTGAAAGTTGTGAACGTGTTATCAGTCACTTATCCAGTCCTGCCCAGTCGTAAGCCAGGTCTGTTTCGTAAGTCTTCTTCTTGAATATTGCGGTAGCACGCAATTGTGGCATCTATTTGGGCACAGTGAAAGGTCATATCGCAAGCCTAGTATCTACTGGCATGGGCTGCCGACCCTAGACCTAAGGCTTATCCCATGACACTGCAGGCAGAATGATTGGAACGTCCAGTGCAGGATGATCGTTCCGACAAATCGGATGAGGTCACCGCTGGCCCTAGGAAAAGCCCCCCCCCCCCCCCCCCCAAAAAAAAACCGGATTGGTTGATCAGTACCTGGCGACCTGGCCCAGTGATTCGAATTTGGTTGGTTAGGAGGTAGGTATGTGCTCGGGAGTAGGTAGGACTTCCGCGAACGTCGAGCCTGTTGCAGATGGTTGAGGTCGAGTCGGGATAAGACTGATGCGGGCAATATATAACCTTAGTCAGGGGTTATGGATGAGAGTTGTGGCTGAAGGAGATAGTAAGTAGATTGGGTACTTCCTATCGTCGATATACCTACCGTGTGGGAAAGAGGTTATTTCTACTCTGGAGTAAGCTAGAACGGCATGCTGCATACTTCCCCGGACCCTGTAACCCCAGAATTCTCGGCTGATCGAACATGTAGTGCACATAACTGTCCTACTTGGTCGTCAATCCTCATCGCATTCATAACTAGGTGACATCGCGTGTACTGTACATAGTAAGGACAAACAACAGTAGACAAAACGTATAACACAAAAAGCCTCCCACGGCTAATCTATAAGAATTATATAGAAGCAGACAAACCCCCCCCCTCCTATTCCAGCCATGTTTCCACAGCACCGCTGATGGCATTACTCAGCCACCGATCGGTCAACTTGGCATTTGCATCAAAGCCATGATTACCCGGTTGCATCGTCAAAACAAGTCTGTCACTCCCTTGCTGGTCCTTGAGGAGTTCCCTTGCCTTCGCAATGAATTTCTCGCTCCCCCTTGGCGGGACAAGATCATCTTCCGTGCCATGCATAATCACTATCCCACCCCGTGGCAACTTCGCCCCGGGAGCCTCTAACCTCCGTAGGAGGAAGAGGCGGTTGCGATGTGGTGAGTCTTCTGATCCGCGTTTGTATAACTCTTGGAATTTGCCCTCTTGAATAACCGCGCCGAACAAATCCATTCGTTTGGGCGGACTGGCACTGGAGACAACAGTGCCCGGTTTGATGCTATAGACATATTGGTCGACCATCGATTCCGACGAATCATCCTCGGTCAGGTGAAACATTGGGGTGCTGGATCCAACAGCGAAGGCTGGATCGTCGACATCGATTAAAGGATATGCAACGATTGTGGCTCGAACTTCATCAGGATGTGACAGCGCCAGAGAAAGACTGAGGAGACCACCCGCAGAGTCACCAGCAGTCAGGATCCGGCTGAGATCGAGTTCAAGAGGGCGGCGGGGCTGAGAGGCGAGAATGCGTGCGAGCTGCGAGGAATGCAGCCATGACCACAAATCCTCGACATCTTCCAGGGTATCCAAGCCGGTGGATTCGGGAAGGAGACGGTAGTTTGCAGAGACGATGATGGCGGAGTGTTTCTCGGCGAGTTGCAGAAGCCATTGCGGAAACCAATCGGGGAAGAGGGAGTCCCCGATTATCTGCGGTCTGTCAGCCATTTCGACTCGACTGTCGCGGTGCCTGGTAGGCGGCCACACTTACCAGTCCGCCGCCATGGAATCGGACTATCACAGGCCACTTGCCTGGGGCTAGCGAATTGGGAATTACAATGTCGGCGCGGATGTGATGGCGGCCCACCGTCTTGTAGTCGGCCTGGATGATGGAGAAATTGGTGAATTTGGCATGGAACTTGGATCCTGGGACAGCTGTTTAGAAACGACGGATTAATCCTCGTCTGACCACGTTTCTAGCAAGTACGACGCCCGTCTGAAGACAGGAATCAAGAACAGGCAGGAAATGGGAGGAAATCGCTATCAATTACCATGTGGTGTCAGCTTAAAGGCACGGGCAAGGTTGAATTTGCCGTGTACAGTCATAGATCGTGCAGTGGCCGATTGCACGGGATCAGGAGGTCAGTCGGTGGCAGCACGGAGGAAATCCGAAGTCCTGCACGGCGCTGCATATATATAGCGCACTCTGCTTGAACGTGGGTGTAGGCGTGTGTGCGCGCGCGAGAGCGTAAAGTCGGCTAGGCGCAGTTGCGGGGGAGTGTTTCGAGGTACTTATAAGGGATTTGTGTTCTGGAAGGCGAGCGTGCCCACCGACAGCGCCATGCCTAAAGTTATGCAACCTGGAGCGCCGGGCTCCTCCTGCCAGACGGTTCTTCGCGCGCGGCACGCACACTGGGACTAAATGCCCGCCGGGCCTGATGATAAGGCGGGAGGGGAGGACTTGGGACTGGCATTTTGGCAACCCTGGAAGCGTCCGTGGATCGAAGAAGTCAATTCCGGACAAGGTTAAATCAGGTGCCCAGGAGTTCGTGGCCGCGGGTGGAACTGGGAGCAGACTATCGCTTTTTTAGTTTTGTGTCGAGCAGAGGATTTCCAGAGACGGACGATGAACCTCGCCGGGATGGCGCGGCACTCGCTGCCGATCGACGCTGCATGGCGAGCGCCGGCAAATCAGGCCGCTTGCATGCATGCGCCAAGGCCCGCAGCCGGCCAATCGCCGCGCTGCAGAACTCCCGCAGAACACGCGAGGCTTCCATTGCTGGGCGAGCCTGCTCACGTCAGCAGCCCCTGCCCGTTTGGGATATACGTCTGCTCTGGAGAACACATGACTAAGGAGCTGTGCCTATCTAGCAAATTGAAGTACTGCTTGGACAGATCGATTTCTATACTGTGAGGCTCGTTAATCAGGTAATTTCTGATTGTCTTGTTTGCATGCATCTGGCTGGCCTGTCCAATCACTCCCTCAGCTCCTGGCATATAATCTCTCGACTCTCCCTCCTGTCAACAACCCGGGCTGCGATGGTGCAGCGGTTAAGTAGCCTAAGTCTCTTACACATCTAACATCCAGATGAACGGCCTGGGTTCGAATCCCTCCAATCCTTCGAATTATCTCACCTCCGCCCTCCCCTAATCTCCTAACACCAATTGTCTAGTAAAACCCCTGCCCGCCAAAGCATAGGCGGGGGTTTTCGTAGCACCTGCGGGCCCCGGGAGGGTGGACCCCTGGTGTGAGCTTTTTTACATGGCGCAGAAGTGTCCCAGACTGCTGGGTTGGGCGTTGTTTCCTTTTTGGGAATATATGAAGTTCCAAACGTGTTGGTATTTACGTTCGCTATCTTCCACATCTCCACGCAGGGACTTTCTTCTTCTTCTTCTTCTTCTTCTTTTGAACCTTCAAAGCAAAAATACTCTTCTTCCCTTGGCTTGTTCCAGGGACCTCTCTGATCCATGGGACCAACCCCCCGCCTGCGGGAGTTACCTCTGTTTACAGATCTGTACGCGGGGAACAATTATGTAAGCATCCCCAAACTTCACCCGTCCACGCTGTTTTGAATTTGAGAGCCAATCAGGGAATCTCAAAATGAATAACAGAGCTCAAATATTAACAAGCATCTAAGACCTCTCGCAGCATAGCTTCCTATTAATGGTCTGTTTCGGTTCGCAGCGACGCAGCCGAAAAAGTAGCCGGCCCCGCCCATGGAGTCACGGCTGTGAGGGGCGGAATCTTGGTGGAACTTGGTGGTTAATTTAATCGATCTTTTAGCTCCGCGCCGTCCTCATCCTGACACAACTAGCAGCGACAACCCCATCGACGATTTGGAAGCGGAGAGAACACCGCTGGTTCTTCTCGATCCGGTTTCTGGAAGCTGAATCGCAGATCCGGCCCCGATGCCCTCGGTAATTTTTTAGTGCGAGTTCGTTTCCCGCTGTACGACACTTGTTCGAACCTTCAGATCCGATTACGATCTTATCTCCACCCCGCTATGGCAATACAGACTTTCCGCGAAATCTCCGCCCGCAATCTCAGGGTCTTCAGAGAGCAGCCCTTCTCTGAGATCTCGGGTTCGCTGGGCGATCTGGGCACCTTCTTGCCCATCGCCATCGCCCTGACGGTCAATGGAACCATTTCTCTGTCCAGCACGCTGATCTTCTCCGGCGTGTTCAATATCCTTACAGGGCTTGTCTTTGGGATACCGCTCCCTGTGCAGCCGATGAAAGCGATTGCTGCCGTTGCGATCGCAAATTCCTTCAGCCCTGGCCAGATCGCTGCCGCCGGCCTCTTCGTGGCTGCTTGCATTTTCCTTTTCAGCATCACGGGTCTCTTGCGCTTGTTCACGAACGCCATTCCGATTCCTGTCATCAAGGGCATACAGGTTGGAGCGGGGTTGTCGCTCATTATCACTGCAGGGGGAAGGCTGATCTCCTCGCTTAGCTGGATAACCCCATCGTGGGCGGATAACCTTCTCTGGGCGATTGGGGCCTTTCTCTTTTTGTTGACCACGAATCATTACCGCAATGTGCCCTATGCGCTGATCGTTCTCGTCGTGGGACTTGTCTTCGCCGTTATTCTCACGGCGCAATCAGCGAACCTGCCAACGTTTAGACCGTGGGCTCCAATCCTGACAGTGCCAGACGGCGATGACTGGCTCGTTGGTGCTGCGCGGGCGGGCATTGGCCAACTGCCACTCACGACGTTGAATTCGGTTGTTGCAGTTGTCCATCTTGCAGGAGATCTGCTGCCGGACGTTTACACACCTTCCGTCACTTCCATAGGGCTGAGTGTCGCAGCCATGAATCTGCTGGGGTGCTGGTTCGGGGCGATGCCTGTGTGTCATGGCTCTGGCGGATTGGCGGCTCAATATCGGTTCGGGGCCCGTTCAGGCTCGAGTATCGTTTTCTTAGGTGTGCTGAAAGTGCTGATCGGGCTCTTTTCCGGAGAAACGTTAGTCGACCTGCTTAACCGGTTTCCGTTTGCACTTCTGGGGATCATGGTTATCGCTGCGGGGCTTGAACTGGCCAAGGTGGGAGAGAGCCTTAACACCGCAGGAGCCCGGGACCTTGGGAAGTGCCAGGTAGTTGGCGATTCTGAGCAGGAGACTTCAGCTGTCCTCAGCGAGGAGGAACGAAAGAAACGATGGACCGTCATGATGGTCACGGTCGGCCTGCTGGTGGGCTTCAAGAACGATGCCATCGGGTTCATAGGGGGCATGCTGTGCCACTGGAGCTATGAGCTCCCACCGGAGCTGCACCGGCTGCTGGAACGACGCCGTGAGGGGCGGATCAGGCTGCCTGGAGTAGCTAACTGATACAACCTCGTTTATTTCTCAACATTGCGGGGCAATTACAATGAGAAAGCAGGATCTATACGATGAAGAACACGATAAATGATTGCTTTTTACGAGGACGGAACATTCTTGCCGTAGCATTTTACATTATGCGGTTTCATATCTACATCAAGGTTGAACCATATATAGTTCTTGTTCTTCTTCTAAGTTTCTCTTTGAAGAACATACATGCATGTCAAAATCAATGAACTGATATCAACGCTTCGCGAGACGAAGCGAATAATGCATTCCGTCCTCCGCCCTTCACTGAATCACATCAACAACCACGCAAAGAGCGACCAACCAAAACCAATATGCAAAACCAAGTATGTACTGTACACCCTGCACAGTACCAAATGTATGTATGTACAGCACAAAAACTATATACAGCTGATCAACATCCACTGGTCAAGAAAAGCCCTGACTTCTGTCAGCAAAGCAAAAAAAAAAAACACAAACACGACGCAAAGAATCTCAAAAACAGTCAGCCATATCGTATCAGTTCAGTCAGCCTTGATCTATTCTGTTCAGTTCTGTTCAAGTTTAGCTCAAAAGTTCCAAAAAAACAATGTGAAGATCGAGGTAAAGCCCGTTTATACGCACTTTTTTGGGGTTTTCCTCTTCTCTCTCAGACGGTATCCAAGGTTTACTTTCTCTTTCGCTTTCGCTTTCTTACTTCTCATACGCGAGTCTCACATCCCCTTCATCACGATATCGCTTACCGGTGACAGGATCGACAGCGTCGACAACGTCGTCCGCCGTGGTATTCGTCCCCGTCGTGTCGGCCGTGGCATTGTAGTTGTAGTTGTAGTTATAGTCCTGCTCAGTCAGGTCGGCGATGCGCCTGGTGCCGCCGGCGGTGGTGCTACCGGGGCCGAGGAGCAATTCCTGACCCGTCCGGTCGTAGCGACGCTCCTCGATGACGGCCGGCTGGCCCAGGTCCTGGTGGGCGGTGCGCACGATGGTGTTGCCGGCAGGGTCGGTGTGCGAGGTGGTGGTGTAGCGGTGACCGGAGGTTTGGGTTCCGTTTGTCGTGCTCGTCGCAGAACTGTAGTAGTAGGAGGAGCTGGTGTAGGAGTCGGGCATGGTGGCCGGTGCTGTTCTGGGTGAAGACGCTGAAGACTCGGGGGACGTTGGCGGCGGTGCTGCTGTGGCCGGTGGTTGCGGGATTCACGATGCTGGCAGGTGATGAAATGGTCAAGTTCTTGGTATGTCAATGCAAGTAGCGTGTATGCACATATACCTGGCAGGTATATTATAGATTTTTACTTTCGCTGCGGAATTCGTCTTCAAGACAATCGAGGCCCCAAAACGCGCATTTATATCCTCTCTCGTGGCGACGCAACCCCAACAGTCTGACATCACAGCTTTCCTATCACGGCAATCACGAGTCGCGCATGGCGAACGTGTGCAAGTCGAAATTAGCCTCCCAGGACGGGACGAACCTACTACGGCCGATCTTAACCATGGCATGGCATGACACGAGCCGGAGCCCCCGACCCAGCTCGAGTCGGTCTTTTGTTCCGCACCACCCGCCTTGATGGTGGCATTTCAGACTCTTGTGGAGAGGCACATCGTGTCCATGGATAGCGGTCCCAGCGCTTATCGAGCGAATGGTGTTCTGCTGTTCAAGCTCAAGCTGTCGCCACCACCGCCGTCAATCGCCGTCGTCGTCACCGCAGAAGATGGGCAGCTTTGCGGACTGTCCTCGTCCCAGTGTGGAGGAGACTTTTTCTTCCTGTGGTTGTCATTCTCCACAGAAATGATACTGGTAGCTGGAGAGGATGTAAGTACAGCACTATATTCATGCAGTGGACATGGATGGTGTCACGATACGAATCGAGATCAGCAATGGTGATCAGAGGTAAGATCTTTAGTGGTAAGAGTAGCAGATTGGAAATGATATAATGAGCACATTATTGCGAACGTCTATATGAGTCAGACTCGTCCAATATACTTCATGCGGCGGATGTATATATACAGTTAGGTACAGAAATTACCGTACGGCTTATCGAGACGACAGAATTGCACTGGTCATGAAACACAGATTCTCCAATTTATAGCCCAAATTCTCTAAAAATTTTACAATGCATTTTTTTTTCTGGATAAATATTTTCATGATTCCAGTTCAATTGTTGCGAACTGGATCGTCTGTATTCCTATGTATTGCGTACCGTACCGTACCGTCTCGGCTATATGCTAGCCGACTCATCCGGAGGGTACAGTAATATGTGCATACAATCATAGCTTATCGACACGCCACTCATCTTTCCCAATTCTTGAATTTTACAAATGCCCAATGTTCAATTGGTCTTTTCTTTGGTCTGAAAAAAAAATGAGCACGAAATCACCCAGTCGCCCTGTCCGGACGCGCGCGAAAAGAGCATGCACCACTTGCCATGCCCGTCGCGTCCGCTGTAACGTCGTCGAGACGCAGCCCTGCGACAACTGCAGGGTGTCGGGGGCTCGATGTGAGATTGGTATTTCTAGAAGGGGAAAGTATGTCTTTGTTCTACCTAAAAGGAAGATAATTTCTAGTAACTGTGTATATATTTTTTTTAATTTTGATATGGGTGATGCTGATGTCACCTAAGGTATCCTCGCTACATCATTAACCCCCATCCAAACGGGGTGACTGCTCAGCGCTCTAGCGAGAAGGGCTTCGAAACATCCTCTTTAGCCTCTGATGTTGCTAGCCGTTCTGTCTCTGGATGTGATAGTTTGCGCTCTCGTGAGACTACGATCGATCAGAAAGATGCACTCCCTCATGAGAGCAATCATGGAGGAGGTGTCTCTAACACGGCACCTGTACCTTCTCCTGCATGCCCTCATCAGGTGAAAGGAGAGATGGATCGAACCGTCTTTTTCGGCGAATCGAGTCCCTTGACCTGCGTGGTGGACGAAGGACGCAAGTCCCCCGAAGCAGGCGTCGGAGGCCAACTGAGCAAATTCCGGTGGCAATACCCCATTCCCGAAGTGGTCTGTCGCCGGTCTGGCAGTTTTTCGTTGTTTGCCAGTCGCAGAGCAAGAAGAGTCGAGCAGCTCATGCGCGAAGGAGCGTTTGATTTCCCTGACCCTCCGGTGTGCGAGATGCTTCTGCAGGCGTATTTCGAGTGGTTCCACCCGTGCTTTCCGATTGTCGACCGTGTCGAAATTAGCGAGTCCTGTCACAAAAAGACTATATCGCCTTTACTGCTCCAGTCGATGCTGTTCATCGGTGCGAGTCTCTGTCGTGACGAGGCTTTGCGCGACGCAGGCTTTCATGATCGCTACGAGACTAAGTTCCTTTTTTACGACCGCGCGAAAGACATTTTCGACGCAGATTGTGAAACAGACTCGTTGTCGAAACTGCAGGCCTTGTTCTTGTTGAGTTTCTGGCGTAGCACTCCGAGTCATGAAAAAGATACCCGGTATTGGCTTGGGGCTGCCATCAGTCTTGCCCAGACGGGTGGTATGCATATGCTGTAAGTGTATGCTCACTGGATCAGCAAAGAATATCAGATTCACAGGCCTCAGATCGAAGCTGTCGCTTTTGAGTCCCAAGGAAAGAAGAGTGAGGAAGAGAATATGGTGGTCACTCTACGTACGGCATTCATGCACCCTTGTCAGAAGCTTGCACTGTTGACAGACTTTCAGATCCGGGATCAACAAGTTGCAGCCGCTTTTGGATTACCCGCGCGAATCCGAGACGAAGACTGCGACATTCCGATGCTCGAAGAGTCCGACTTCGAGGAGGAGGGACCGGTTGGGAACCCTGCTATATTCGGGACACCGAAGGTTGAGCACGCACTATACATGATCCAGATGACTCGACTGGCTAGGCTGCGTATGAACACTCTCCCGTATTTGGAATGGTCACTCGCTGAGACGATACAGTTCGAGAAGTCGTGTGGACCGCGTACTTGCCTGGAAAGCTGCGGGCAGAACAAGCCGAACGAGACCGACTTCGACAGCGTCTTATGCAATGGGAGGCAGAATTACCGCCGGAATTAAAGCTCCAAGATGCGACCGAACGCGGGACGATGTATTTTGCGGGAATGCTGCATATGGCGTATAAGTAAGTAACTACTTGGTCTTCTTTTTCGTAATATTGACTGACTCTGTCAGTAACCTTTATATACTCCTCTACCGTCCATCATACCTCGACCCCTCAGACGAACTGAAGAGAAAGGAAGGAAAAACTGCTCTCCAAGCGGCATGCCAAAGCACAAGGATTATAGAAGACATGCTGTCACAAAACCTAGTCCAGCACGGGCTGCTGCACCTGTGAGTACTGTCACCCTGCCAAGGGAAAGAAGGAGTCAGCTAACAAGACTGAAGAATCACGCACATTTTCTCTGCACTCTGCATTCATACGATTCATTTCTGCCGCTCGGAGGGCACGGAGAGGAAGCTGGCCGAGCACCGGGCCAAGCTATGTCTTCTCGGGCTGAAAGAATTGCAAAAGTCGTGGGACCTCAATTACTGGGTGTTGGAGATCTTCTTCCATTGCTTGGATGAGAGCACGGCAGAATACCTGCAGTTATCGGAAGAAAAGAGCCCGAAGCGAGGATCGACGCCGACGAAGCAGTCCGCTCGTAGCACCCAGAGTATTCCTGATCTCAGCAACGGCAACAGCAACAGCAACAGCACTCCCAGTTCAGCGGAACTATCGACAGAGCACGACGTCGCGGGACCCGGCCCGCAGCCATGTGAGGAACAGTCCCAGCCCCAGCCCCAGCACCAGCAGCAGATATGGTCCGAGAACGGGCCGCAGCAGCCCTTCACACCTTCCAACAACGAAATAGGAGATATGCCAATTGACCTATGCGAACCGTTCCTCTTCGAAGAGGAATTTGTGCGGAATTTCGGGTCCTGCGCGCCGCGGCTGGATTCATTGAACTCGTTGAATCTGGACTTTTTGTACCGGTTTTTGTAGATTAGCTCTTGCTGTGATTCTCCCCCCTTTTTTTCTCCCCTATTGAATACTATTCTATGGGATATGGCTGGATTTGGCAATGTTCTGTTTCTGCTCTCCTTGGGGCTCATACAGTCATCTATTTGTACTGTGCTGTATGTACATATATGTATTCCCAAAGAAAAAGGGCGCGTGCATGGTAGATAGCTTCAATCCAATATACTCTTCCCCGGTGGAAGAATGGAAAGAAGTCAAAAGTTGAATCGAGTCAATGACATTGAAATTTCATGTACATACATATAGCATACGTGCATACATGACATGATTAATATCAGTAGATATATCAGTATCCCTGTCCATACAAATCAGCGCAATGATAAGCGTCAGACGAGATTGGACAAAGCTTATCGATAAGCAGCAGTGTCCCCTCCGTTCGGCCAGCTCCGGCCAACCCCGCACTGCGAAGTAGCATTTCATTATCTTGCCTCGCGTGACACATTATTCTCGACAACCATACCCTCCGCGCAGCCCATGTTCATATAATTGAATGCAAGAAGGCATCTATCTGAGTCTAGTCTAAGAATTTCAAAGCGCAACTTCCTGAAGTGACCTACCTGCGAGGACAAAAAGAAATGGCTCCATCCGCCGTGGAACCTGCAACTTCTGCTACAACAAGTCAGTCGGAGCCTTCGGGCCTAACGAAGGAACAGCTCGACTTCTTCAATGAAAACGGCTACCTCGTGATCCGGGGCTTCCTCAGCGCCGACGAAGTCCAGTCGCTGCTGACAACGACGCACGACCTCCTCGACAACTTCCCGCTGGAGAGCCACCCACTCACGCGATTCACGACGGGCGACGACGTCGACAGCGACAAGAACGGGAAACACGTCGGCGACGAGTACTTCCTTTCGTCGGGGGACAAGGTGCATTTCTTCTTTGAGCCGGAGGCCGTGGCGCCGCCAGACGACAAACAGCAGCGACCCCGACTGCTGAAGCCCAAGCAGCAAGCCATCAACAAGATCGGGCATGCGCTGCATGCGAAATCCCCGCCTTTCCAGCGCGTGACGCTGTCGCGCCGCAACGCCGCCATCGCCGCCTCGCTGGGTTTCCGCGATCCGCGCTGTCTGCAGAGCATGGTCATCTGCAAGCAGCCGGGGATCGGGGGCGCGGTGCCGCCGCACCGGGACTCGGAGTTTCTGTACACCAGCCCGCCGTCGGCGGTGGGATGGTGGATTGCGCTTCAGGATGCCGGGGCTGGGAACGCCTCGCTGGGCATGTGGAAGGGGAGTCATCGCGGGAGGAAAGGAGGACACATCCGCCGGCGGTTTGTGCGCGCAGAGGAAGGGGGCACAAAGTTTGTGGAGAATGACGGGCCCGGGTTACCACGAGGGATGGAGGAAGAAGAAGAGCCTGAAAGAGAAAACAATAATACTGGCGTGGAAGAAGGCACTGACTTCGAGATCCTCGACGTCAAAGCGGGCGACCTGGTCCTCATCCACGGCAACGTCCTCCACAAGAGCGAGAAGAACACCAGCAACAAGAGCCGGTTCGCCTACACGTTCCATGTCATCGAGGGCGCGGAGGGATGGACATACGACGAGCGGAACTGGCTGCAGCCTCCGCCGGAGGGGTTTTCGAGGCTGAATGATGCGGTTGCATGATTTGCAGTAGTTGAAGATACACACGTGCTGTATTGTAGCAGTTGTGCTTTGTATTTATTACTGGAGGCGATGTGCATATATTGATCGGTAGGGATTTAATCCAAACTGGTTTGTGGATTATATATACACAGCATGATGACAGACACGTATTATGAAATTCTTTCTTTTTTTTTTCAGATTCTACATTTACACTTCCATTACATTACATTCACATACACACGCTCCTCTGTTCATCCATCCATCCATCCAGCTTTTTTTATAACAGTCGCCCAAGTCGTAGTCCTATGACGGACATCTGAAACAACAAATACAAAAAAAACCAGCACGCCGTATCTTACTCAATGCCACGCCACAAAACTCCCAGCTCCTGGTAGATGTATGTAGAAGGGTATCCAGAACATTTCGTACCCAAATATGCAATCTTTTTTTTTGTTTTCGATGACAAAGACGTCCAACATTTCGACGGCATTGGCACTCTTTCCAATTGCTCTGACCTGACCTTTCATCGGCAGGCTTCTTCAGTCCGCAAATGGACTGACTGACCGGCTTTCTTTCTTCTGTAGTGGCCGAAGGTCAGTGTCGACTGCACCTTGGCGCTGGCACAACCGGCAAAGGGCTCTTTGCCTCTGCCTCTGGTCATGCTCTATTAATAAATAACTCGCGCTGACTCTGACGTTTGGAACGTCCAAGCTTGGCCAGCTTTTGTTTGATTCCTCCCAGCTGCTACCCTGTTACGACACCTTCAGCATCTCGAGCATCCCCTTCGTCTGCCACGCCTGCTGCGCCCGCTCGACTTCCTCGCGCACCCGTCGGTGGAGCTTCTCGACCTGGCTGTCGATCTGCGCAGACTGGCCCAGATTGCCAGAGTAGATATCCAACACGTTCATCGCGATCTCAACACATAGCGTCACCAGGCGAGGCTCTGTGATGTGCTTGTACACCCACCGCAGGACGGGTTGCAGCGTCACCTCGTCGCGGCCCTTGAGCGCCGCGCGAAGGGCGGAGCGATGTCTCAGCGCCGTGAACAGGGTCAGCTGTGCCGTCTTGTCCGTCGTCGACAGCACCTGGTCGAGTGCTGCCGCGTACCGACCCTTGCGCAGGTCGTGCTCCCAGCTCTGTTCCTTCTTTCGTTTCTTCCTATCTTGGCCCTCGATTATGATATCCACGCCTTCGCCGATAAAGTCACGACCTCGCAGCCGCTTCTCCCATCCCTTGCCGCGCAGTTTTGCCTTCTTTGCGACTTTCTTGTCGTATTCCTCGATCTTGCCTTCCAGCAGAGCCTGCATTTCCTTCTGTCGCTCCCGCTCTCGAACCTTCTCCTGTCCAGAGAGTCGGGTCTTGATGGACAGCAGACCGGACTGCATACCAACCGCAATGTGTTTATCCTCCCTGTCGGGACCCGATGTGATGACGCGCAGAGACAAAATCGGAGATGGGTATTTGGAGCCGGCCACCACGTTCCATCCTGTCGTCTCGAACACCTTCATATGCCCGTCCAGCGCACCACTCACCACTCGATCGCCGTGAGACGCAAGAGACAGTACGGTGACGGTCTTCTGGTGGCTCTTGATCAAGTGCAACGGCTTCCCAGCCACTACATCCAGGACAGCGATCTGATTATCCGCCGAGGCGAGGACGGTGGTGCCTGACGGCATGGGCAACACGCATTCGAGCGGCGCACCCATCTTGAAAATCATAGCCGCGCGCCCCTCAACTCTTGGATCCCACAGTCGAACCGTCCGATCGTAGCTTCCCGAGACAATCATGCCGCCTGATGCCATCGAACCGGGCATGAATGCTCCGCTTCGCACGTAGTCCGTGTGGCCGTGGAACGTCCTTGAGCTGTGTTCACTAGGGAGATCCCAGAGCCTGACCGTCTGATCATCACTGGCACTGAAGAGCGTCGTCGGATCGCTGGGAGAAAATTTCGACACCCACACGGGCTGCTTGTGATCCTTCCACGTCTTCAAGATGGCGCGAGAACTGACATCGAAGACCTGAATGGTACCGGTATCATCACCGACAGTGATGATGCGGCCGTCCGGTCGCACATCGGTCCCGCGCGCCGTGTCATCGAATCGCGTAATCGTCCTGAGGAGTTTTCGTGTGCGGATCGAGTATATCTGCACTCGGGCGCCGGTCGTCACCGTGAAGACATCCGGCGGCTGGGCGGCGGAGGGGAAGGCAGAGAGGGACGACGGCGCGGATGGCTGGGTAATGAGATTGATGGGGTTATTTGAGGGCGAGGAGATCAGCAGAGGAGTCTTGAACGTCCTCCAGTACAGCTGCTCCGGCGTCAGACGGGCGGAGGGCAGCTGCGGGAGCTTGACTTGGGGAAGAGGGAGCACTGGCGCCGCCATTGTGACTGATGTGCAATAACTAAAAAGAAAAAAAAGAACGAAAAATAAGTTATTGCAGTAAGCAGCCCATTGCACGCAACGTTTCTCGTGCGCGGGCAGTGATGATTTTCGTTGCGGAGATTTCGATATTTGCTCCCCGGCCAAGAAAAAAAAAAGTTGATCGGTCAAGGCGGAGAGCATCGATGTCGATACCGCTAAGTGTAATTTTGGTAATCCCGGTACGACATCACACTACCACTGACCAGTCAGATACGAAAGCAGGATGAAATATTGTAAGATCTGGAATAATACTGTTCTTGTCTCACATGAGGCGGAAACAGGCCTTCTGAAGAATTACTCCGTATGTGTATACAACAGGCTTTTCGATCATCAGAAATTCCGCTGAAATATAGACGCTGCACATTCCTCTGCACACAAGATTTCCCTCCTTCACAACCCATACACAAAGATATACTTCTTGTCGGCATAACGCTTCGAGCTTCTCCGCTCGTCGTCCAGCTGCTGCTCGTTCCAGCCCTGGATCTTGCGAGCCTTGCGACGATTGACGGCGCGCAGCACGAAGCGATACGACAGGAACCCCGCCATGGAAAAGATCGTCAGTCCCAAGGTGACGTAGAAGGGCAGGAGAAACCGCGGTGCGTATTGCGCTCGGAAAAGCTGTGCGCCGATGACTCCCGCCAGGTTTCCGCACCCATTCACCCCGATTACGAAGGATCGCTTGCCCGGCTCTAGGAAGGATAGAATTTGTTAGTTTTTGATGACCATAAGAATGTTAAATTCATTGCTCACCCGGAGTGTTGCCACTCAACCACGCAACGACAAGAGGCGCGGAAGTGTAGCTTCCTAACAGCAAGATACACAATCCAGCATACTTGGCGCCATTGTGCTGTACGGTGACTAGAACGACTAATCCAACAAGACAGATGAGCAGCCCAACGACTATATGGTAGCCCCTCTCCTTGCTTTTCATGTTGTTAGCCTCTATAACTGCGTGAATTCTCATCTTGATTGGAGCAGAACTTACTGACGATCGGAGCTCATTGCAAAGAGATACAGACCCATCGCCCCACATACGTAAGGAGGAACAGACATCTGTGTGTTCCCGTCAGTTTCACAGTTCGACTCGAAGAAGTGCTAGGAGTTTCCATACCAGATTGGCGTTGATAGAGGTGTATCCCAGCCCCTTAACGACCAGAGGAAGGAAGACCGAGAAATCCTGTGCCGAGACAGACGCACAAATATTGAAGATCAAGGCGTACCACAGTTTCCAGTCTTTCACCATCTCTTCGATATCTCTCTTTGAAAGACGCTCTGAGATCTTCTCCATGCCATCTTTGCCTAAGCTGTGGCGCACGTATCGGGCATTGTCGCTTTGCATCCTTGCAACGGCGAACTCTCTCTGGCGTCTGTTGAGAAACAAAGCCGATCCAGGGCCCGTGGGTAACCAGAACCAGGCGATGATGCCCGCGATACAGGTAGCAGAACCTTCGATCACGAATAGGTACTACCAACTGTAGAGACTGCCACGGATGTGAAAGATGCCGTACGCTGGGGATCGAAGTTAGTTAGAGTCTTCATACACGTCGAAGTTCAAAAAAAAAATCTTTTCTTTTTTTCTCCTTTTGTAAAAACTTACCCAGAGCACCAGAAAAAGCCCCAGCAATAGCATAGTTACCGTAGAACAACGCCAAGCGAAACCCAAGGTCAAAGCGAGTATAGAACGTCGACAAGTAAAAACAAACCGTAGGGAAGAAGCCCGCTTCGAAAAGTCCGATCAGGAGTCTCACTGTGATCAAGGCAGCTACAAATACCGACTTCAATTAGTTATCTTAAGTCAAAACCGAAGAAGAAGTACAAGTCGACGGATTTACCTCGTCCCTTAATAAATGCATGAGCGATCATAAAGACACCCCAACATATCTTTTGAAAGCAGGATAAGTTAGCACAGCTCCAAGCACTACATATGCGACCTTTTGGCCGTCGTAAAAAAAAATTGACAGAGAGAGAGAGTACCATCAGAATTGGTATCCAATGCCTAGCACCAATTTGACGTCCCACAGCAGTCGATATAGGCTGGAAGAGCACAAAAGTAATGAAAAAGAGAGACACTGCAAGATTGAGATCATCCGGAGTTGCTCCAATATTCCTTGTGAAGCCTGACATCCTCAATCAGTATCGCATAAGAAAAACAAGCCCTCCAACGTTTATAATAAGGAGACGATTTCATCCTCACCTTGAGTCTCTGCGTTTCCAACATTTCCTCTATCCAACCCGCTGAAAAGATACAAGAATGACAGGAACGGGAGCATGACGATGTCCAGTTTGCGGTTCAACGCTCGATTATATCGTTTTTCTTCTTCCTCGTTTGAGAGTTCATCAGGGGTATCACTGCTTGGCGCTCCATTATTATTATTGTGTGACGATGTGGATCCATTGTCGTCACTGGTGTTCTCTTGATGTGTTGTTGTCGTAGTAATAGTAGCTGCAGTTTGAGTATTTCCCTGTGCGTCTGTGGGGGAGCGCACCTTGTCAGGATACTCTTGTTGGAACGCCATTGAATCTGTACTGTACAATAGTAGAATAACCCTGTTGATTGCAAATCCCACCGGTTACGGATCCCAAAAAGATTCCAAAGGCGATAAAGATCAAAGATGCAACACTGTGATATCAAGATATATCAAAACAGAGACCGTTACTGGGTCCTATACATCGTGTATGCATCGAGAAACAAAAACGCAATGACGCTTCCAAAAGATAACCAATTGGAATTTATATGATCAGGAACAATTCCCCAAAAAGTCGTTGAGGCCGGTAATAATATCTCGTGACAATTCAACAATTGATGGATCCTAAGTCATAGAAATCAATCAGAGTCCAATGCTTTCTTTGATTGATCGTATCACAATGTGTTCGGGTTGAACCAAGCCAGAGCCAGGAGGCAGTGGAGAATCTCCACATTGCATACTTCCACTGAGTTATATAGCACGAATTGACCAGCAGAAAGACTGACAGACAGAAAATTGGACTGCGGCTGAACCTCGCTCGAGTCATGGAGACAGGAAAAATGGGCGTTCTCCTCCCATCTTGTTCCCCGTGATGGCTGCTGCTTGGTTCCCCACAGACAGACCAAGGCCGCGACCCCCAGCCACGTGCAAGCCAACCCTGTACTGTAACTGCATGACAAGAGCTGAGGCTGGCTGAAGATAATCGAGGTTCTTGTCATACGAAAGGCGCGATAGTAATATAATCTTTCTTTTTTTCTTACTTGGAATGTGACAGGAAGACGTCATAGGTAGCTTTGCATATATCAAATGAAGCTTAGCATGCACGTTTCAGCTGCGGTTTCCACGTGGAATGCAGCCATAACCTTGTCCTGGAGTTCATAGGGAGTCCGGAGTCGCGGGTGCCTGGAAAAAAGCCCTGTCCTCGTATTCGGGCAACCTAGTTCGTATTTTGTAAAGCTTAGTTCCACGCAGACTGACAAGGGGCCAAAAATTTCTGATATAGTCACGTATTGTATCTGACTATTTGCAATAGATTATTAATACGTGTAAATTGTCAGCCGCAGAGTAGGGCGGTGCATTACGATATAGGGAAATGCTTGTCTGACAGCTTTTTCTGAATTCAAGCATGACAGTCTCTAAGAGTCCAGGTGGATATGTCTAATGAAAGTCGCGCGTAGCCTGCCACGCTGAACTGCGGTTTGGGTCCTCAGTGGAGACCGTGATTTCTGGCAGGAACGAAGTCGACAATTCGACGGCAGAGAGGACTCTACTGCAGGTGATTCGCACCTGTTCATCTCGGTCGTACTTCGAATCTCCCGAATCCCGAGAATCTGGGGGGCGAGAGGACATAAAAGTGAGGCGTCGCAGCCGTTCGACGACGGGGTAAAGTTCCGCAATCATCTTCGCACAGTCCAAAGAGCATTCGTTCTCACTCTGGCCCGGGTTTTTCAGATCTTGTAGCAGCATCTCGATGAGTCGAGCATCTTCTATCCGAGCATGCTGCGGCAAGAGAAGGGCAAGCGCCAGAACGGTGGCAGCGCTGAATGAGTAGTGATAGCGTAGTGTCAACATCATGGCGGCAAGACGTGATTCCATTAGACCGCTTATTAATTCCGCATTGCGTCGGGCCGCATCAACACATGTAGCGACCAAGGAGTCGGGAAATTGCAATCGCTGGCTGTGCGTTGCATCAACAAAATAGTATTTCAGTCTCGTCTTGACGGCAAGAAATAGCAGTGGACGGGTACACAAAAGGACGAGCTGCAATACCTTGTCAGCGTTGCGTCAAAACAAAAAGTTGAATAATTGATTTACCTGGTTATATATCAAATGGAGAATTATCTTGTTGCGATTTTCAGCCGACGGAGCCATGGTCAGTCGAACTGTGGACGGTAGAGAATTGAGCCACTCTGACAACTTTTGCAAACAATCATTGATATGACAGACGATCGTGGCCAGTGATTGCCTCCGTGAAAAAGCTCCGTATATCTTAGACGAGATGTCGCCCATAATAAATGCCAGTTCTACATGAGCTCTCAGACCGTCGGGGGGCGGAAGATCGTTGGCATCCTGTGTGATGTGTTAGGTTGGGGGGGGGGGGGGGGAACCCTGCCAGATGATCACTGTATGAGGGTCTACGCGGAAACTGACCTGTCCAACAGGCCTCTCAGGGAGACCGAGGATCAGGGCCTCGTTTGTTATACTCGATGGCCTTCCGGTGAGACAGCTGAGCCAGCTAGACAAATTTCTTGTCAATAAGGGGCGGATATGACGCAGGCATCCGACAACCTCACCGGTCGAGAATGAACATATTCCAGAACTCTCTCTTCTGTTTCTCGTTCGCCACCCATCCCTCATGTAATCCATGAGTCATGGCAATTCTCATGGCAGCGCATATGTATATGTACGCCGTATCCCTGCGGCCACTGCCCAGGAGGTAGTAACTCATAAACGTCAATGCCTGCATGTCAGTCAGTGTGGACTCAGCCAATGGGTTTCCGAGCAGCCGTCTCGCTCGAGTGAAGAAAGTCTCCCCGGGGTTGTGTTCGCCCCGTTGTGCTGGGAAGCAGTCAAACTGGCAAGCCAGCGCCAGAGTCGCGTTGAGCAGGCATAAGCCCTTTGTCGGGTCTCCCCCTCGAGGCCGGCGCAGCGTGCTGGAGGATATCTCTCAGGTCACCCCAGTAATAAATGCCACCACAGCCAAATGGGTCATTCCTGTCTTCTGTATAACCCCAGAACGCCCCCAACAAACCCGCGATTTCCTCAAATGGCGGCAGCTCCAAGGGGTTAATTTCATTCAATTCGATCGGCCGCGAATCATACGTGTGAATGCGGCCCAGGAAAGACGTAAAGGATTTCTCTGTTTCCCCCAATGGGGATGGAGAGCTTCCAAGAGCTGGAAGCACCATGGCGACAAGTGCACGGAGCTGGTCAATGAAGACGCCTCCAGCGGAGGCCCCGTGGAACCTCGCATAGGTGTCAGAATATCTGAGGATGCGACCCTTTGGCAGGTCCTGGGGGTCACGTTCCTCGTCTTGCTCATCAGCTGACTGGGAGACTGCCTCGCTCCATTTCCGAATGAGAGCCTCTCTTTGAGATTGCGATGGCACGATCTCCTCGAGACAACGCCTGAGAATGGCGCATTCTCTCTTCAAAGCCTCGAGTTCATCCTTCGAGACATATACCCGCTCGGTCACCTCGGGGTAAATACACTCTCTGGAGTTGCGAGCGCAGGCCTTGCAAGGCCGTTCTCCTGTACACTTGATGCGTCGCACATTACATGGATTGCAGCTGGTCTGGATTGAGCAAAAGGAAATGATGTTGAGTGCCTGAGGGAAACTTACGCGCACGCCACGCGCTGACGATTCGCAGGGGAAACTTTATGCCTTCGCCTGTTCGGAGGCAACCGTTGATGAGGCTTATCCGGTTGCGATCTTACGCCCGTGCACACCGTCCGACCCGGAGTCTGCGGCGACGACGATTCCGTCATCTTGGAAACAAGAGACGCATTTTGCAAGATTATGACGCATAGCAGTTGAATCCGTCGCTAGAAATATAGAAGGTGGCTGAGCAATGTGGCCTGGTGGCCGAGTTGGGCTACATCGATCGATCGTGAATGTAATTCGTGAGGGCCCCGAAATCGCGGCATTACGGCAGACTATTTGGACCACTCCGCCACACTTGGTCTTTCCCTAGCCTTGCTCCGTAGTTGCACTCGGAGTTGGGGGCTAATACATACCACGCTCAACAAGGAGATGATGTTCCATCAGTTTCAGTGATGCCTAGCCTACACGGTACTACCCCTATTATATAAGCCAAGCAGTGAGAACGGCAAAATGGAAAGGACAGTGATGAGGGCACAAACAACCCAAATACGACATATCCTCTTGCCAATGTCGATCTCGTGGCTATGGCATGTCTCTAGGGAAGCTCTCATTAAGGTTGTGGCTAGGACATGGATCCTGCTTCCTATACGATAGCTTGTTTGATGGGCGTCCTGGTGAGGATCGATTTCAGCCACAGTTGGATAAAGTTGCGTTGCTTCGTGATGTTCACTTGACCTAGGTTGACGCCGTGACTGACTTCCACATGCCATTAAAGAGGGAGAGGGGGAGAGAGAGAGAGATAAAGATGGAAGAAGAAATCTATAAATAGATTTGCAACGTCAGACTTATGAATGTTACTGATTACATCTAGGAACTTATAGGACTGGTACAGTAGGTACCCACGTACTGTACTGTACATATGTAAGTGTGCCTAATCTCATCAATAGTCGCGCCCACCGAATGGCGTTGTGCTTTACAAGTCGATAGATAGATGGTGATTGTATGTCGAATGTGCAGGTAGTTCATTAGCTTTATCTAGATTCCTCCTTCACTAGCCAATCTAGTATGTATACGTATAGCACACGTTATACGTATATCGAAACAAGATGGGATAGAGATTTCTATACCTATATTTTATCAAATAAAATCTAGAGAATGTAGTTAATCTCTTGTATTTGTACTAAAATATGAATTTTGGCTCAATGGTTCAAATAGGCCGCCATGGCACAGAATCCGTCATATGCCAAAAATTGAGGTAATTGTAATTGTATGAGTTATACGACTACTCCGTACAACTTAACGGGTCCCTCCTGTCATCGGAAGGCGGTCTATAAATGGAACAAGTGCTGAACCCCGTCGCTTACGAATCCCACTATGTGTCCATGATTTCCTGCAAAAGGTCTTGGAAGATATCTAATTATGGTGAAGATACAGCGCAAAGCTCGTGTACGGAGTAAATTGACTAAAGCTACAGAACTCGACAAGAAGTGGAGTGCATTCGACTGATTAATGGCGAACGCGTGTCTGGTCAACGTCGAATAGGTCTGCAGGGCTCGGAATGGTGTACTCCATATCGCATATAGGACACGCTCAGATACAGGATTCTCCATAAAGAAGACATGTATACGAGCAGGCAGCCGTTTCCTGTCGAGTCTTAGCCAGCTCACACAGCGAATCAGGCCGGTGCATGCGGAGGACGGACAGCTATCACTTACAACGTACACTGCACCCTGCATTGGAAACAGGTTTATATCCCCCTAAATGAGGCGAGTGCTGCCCAAAGTCCTGCAACCTCCACAGCGCACAAATGTGGTTCTGCCGGATTCGAGACCAGCCTGCAAAAGTGGTCTCGTCGCTACAGAGCTTGAAGAGTAGAATTGGGCGCGTCTACGGAGTCCTCCGTGCTGCGGACGCGTTGCCGGGCGCGCGCCACAGACGATGATGTCAAAGGAAAGAGCGAGTTCGCGCACAACGGCCTCGGAATGCGCGCTAAATCACGTGACACCGACGGGGCCCCACCGGCGCGTCGGACGTGTGGCTGGGGGAGTTCTAGGCCAATCCGCAACGCCCTGCCAGCCGCCGCTATTTTGGCGATTTGCTCTGTTTCGGGCCTCGATCGGCATTGCAGCCCAAGCGGGCCACTCACGTTGCTGGACGCCGCGGGCTCCTCCGCGATCTGGGCAGATGCCGCCGATCGGCCAATCCGCAGCGAGGCTGGGGGCCTGCCAAGCCCCAGCCCACTGTCACCAGACAGCTGCCGACCAGCCACACGCCGCCTTTGCCCAGCCCCTCGCCCGATTCAGTCAAACCAAAACAGCTCCCCACTGCCCATGCAGAATAACAGGCATTGAAGCTCCAACTTCTCCTCTTCATGCACTCGTTCGACAGAATCAATCTCTCTTGCAGACCGACACTTGTTCCTTCTGTGCTCCTCCGCTGCAAGATGCTCGATCGAGTCAATTGCTCTTGATTCTGTACCTTCGTTCTTGAGCGGTGGACGGCATCTTTCGGATGCCATTCTCTGATATCAGTTCATCATCTCAATTGCTGCGGATGCGTAGCACAGTCGAAACCCATCAACTTTCTGTATTCTCCCTCTGAGAGTCTTGTATACTCTCTCCTATCCTACAATGGCGTCCAAGGGTATCAAGTTACCGCCCCATGGGCATACGGCTGGTATCTATGCGGACATGTCGGTCGACGGTCCTGCGATTGGCACTTTGGTTGCTGTGATTGACCGTGCTAAGAACTTGCCCAACCGCAAGACCCTGGGCAAGCAGAATCCTTACTGTGCTGCCCGCTTGGGCAAAGAAGCGAAGAAGACCGACACAGACGTGAGAGGCGGCCAGACCCCAAAATGGTATGCAGACCGGCTCATCAGGATCCTGCTGTTGCGTGTGCATGCTGATCGTTATCTCCAGGGACCAGGAGCTACGCTTCACCGTCCATGAATCCCCCGATTACTACCGGCTCAAAGTGTCGGTTTTCAACGACGACAAGAAGACCGATCTGATCGGCGAGACATGGATTGACCTGAATAACCTAATCATCCCTGGAGGTGGGCAGAGTGATCAGTGGCATGAGCTTCAATTCAAAGGCAAATACGCTGGTGAAGTCCGCATCGAAATGACCTATTATGATACTCGACCAGAAGACGAGGCCGTTATCGAGAAGCGAAAGGAAGCTGCTGAGAAGATCCAGGCCAAGAACAACAACAACAACACCACCACCACCACTACTACTACGGGATCGTCACTCTCGGGTCCGCGACAACCAAAGCAGGTCAAAAGACGACCTCTGCCAGAAGATCCCACTGGTTCTTCTTCCACCCGACCACAGGTGCCGGAGCATCCTCCGCAGGCCTCAGGGCATGCCCATTCTACACACCCACGCTCGGTCAGTGGTGATTATGCTCGTCCGTCGTCGAAACATGGGGGACAATCGGACGTTCACGTACCCCAGGTGCACGGTTCATCACCAGCATCACATTCGCAGGCACAGCATCCACAAGCATCGTATCCACAAGCATCGCATCCACAAGCACCGTATCCACAGGTATCGCATCCCCAGGGGTCGTATACCCAGGCACCGTATCCCCAGACGTCACATCCACAGGCATCACATCCACAGGCGCCACATCCACAAGCACCGTATCCCCAGGGGTCGTATCCCCAGGCACCATATCCCCAGGCATCGTATCCGCAGGCACCGTATCCACAAGCCTCGCACTCGCATAGAGGCTATGATATGCCGGATGACATGCCAAGGGAAAGGGCCAGTCACAACAACCGACCGCCAGCCGGAAGCCATGTTCCATATCCTGAGGAAGTCCGGATGGGCTCCAGAGACCAGCACATCGATTCGTATGACCCACCGTATCCAGACACACATCCTGCACAAGCGGAATATGGTGATGAAACCCATCAAGGCGAGCATCACTGGCAGAGGCAGCCTGTGGCGCAGGATCACTATGATTATCCGCCAGAGCCAAACGATATCTACAGACAAAACCAATACGAAGCACCTCCTCGACAGAACTTCCATCAGATTGCTTCTCCCGAGCATGGCCGATATGATGCCGACCAGATTTCCTACGGACAACATTCTAGGCATTCTTCGCATGCACAAGTGAATGGCTATGGGTCGTCTCCTCCGGGCTTGCCACAAGTTTCTTCTGAGCAGGCTCCTCGCCACCAATACAACACATCCTCGACCAAGCCAGATGGATATCGAAGCAGTCACCCACGTCAATCCATGGGCCAAGAGGAGGAACGCCCATCATATGCATCCATGCAGCCAACTGTCGAAGATGAACACGAGGAAGAGTCCGTACCTCCTCCTCCACCCGTACACAGATCAGCATACAGCCCAGGGAGTCAGCGTTCCGGGCCCCCTCCTGCGTCTTACAAGGCCTACTCGCAAGAGTATGCGCCTCCGATGTCTGAATCGCAAGATCATGCCGTGCCGGCGCCAATATCTCCTGCCGAACAGGATCTCTCTCACTCGGGCATTTCGATGTCATCTAAGACGACAAACAGCGCCCAGATGAGACCCTATCCCTCAAATCCCTCTCCAAATACCAGCTCATCAGCCATGCCTCCAAGCCTGGTAGCGGGCTTTGATACGGGAGGTGCGGGAGCAGAGCCACCTCGGGCCATGCACGAAAACCACTCTGGGCGGATGCAGGTCAATATGCCTTCTCCAACCGCGCAGATTCCTTATCCTGAGGATGCACCGCAGTATCAAATGCCTGCTCCGCCGCAGCGTTCTTCTCCGGGTGCTGTGGAGGAGAGACCCATGACGCGGAAATCAAGGTCGAGGAGCCCTGATCGACGAGGAATCCCTCACAGGAAATCAATCAGTCCCAAGCCCGTGCCGGTTGAGGATCGCGAGTTATCTGGCATGCCTTTCTCACCAGATTCCTATGACACTTTGAATCCCAACGCACGAAGGGCTTCATCCGGTACTGGGGAGCCCAGGCCGCGATACGAGACTCCTGATCGAGAGACGGATTCGGGAAGACAGAGTGAGAGCCAGACGAAGGAAGAGGTCGGCCCCATCATTGGTGATGATGGCCGTATCATCGATCCTTCTGACCATCTTCCATCTGAGACCTGGGCTCCCGAACCGGAGCGAAAGACCAAAAAACCAGAGGTTATTATCCGCTTCAAGCACCCACAGCAAAGTACCCCGCACGGTCCTCGGTCATCCCCTCGAGAGACGGGGACTTCCCATCATCAGACGATGCCCACCACTCCGGATTCTGCTGGACGCACTGGCAGGAATCGTCTTCAAAAGCAAAATGGCCGTCCTCAGTCTTACGGACAAGCACCCAATGCAAGTCCTCACACACCTCCTCAGCCCGGCAGTGGCTCTCGCGAATATGAAAAACAACATGGGCACAACCATCAAAGAAACTACAGTACGCCCAACTATGGCAGTCCTCAGCCGCTGCGGAGGTCCGCCTCACCGTCGCCGAGTCCATATTCGAAGTCGTCATTGTACACGTTAGAGAACACTGGCCCCCCCATCCCATCTAAGGTGCCAATTGCCCAACCTGTGAACCAGAACTATTCTGGAACGGGGATGGATGCGTTGACCCAGGAAATGCAGTCAATTGATATTGGGTCCGCTGGATGCGACTCGAGCCGTCCTGGAAGGCGATATGTTCCTCGCACTGCGGTCGTGAGCAGCGGTTACGCTCGGTAGCTTTGTTCCTCGAAAGGGTGCCTCTATAGAAATTACCCCATGCTGATTATGAAAAAAAAAAGATCATTGACGGCATGCAAATATCATCTGACACTGTTCTTCTGTCTTTTTCCCTTCAACTGGGCGAAATGGCTTCTAGTTTGACAACTTTGACTCCCTTTTCTTCCTGGGCATGAATGGCAAACGGCGTTCAGAGACACCTATTATGTGAAATTGTTATGAGTTGACTGAGTCAGAACTTTTGATATTTGTGCTTCCACTCTCGGTTTTTGTATCTACATACTGTGTGCGCGAGCTCCCAGCTCTTGTGTCAGTAAATTTTCCAATGCCATATAGACTGTTTGACAATCTGTGTTCCTGAGCTGTTACTTCAGATCCTTCTCGACAGCTGACTTGACTCACTGGAGCAGAAGTCTCCCGATCCTATCGCTCGCGCCAAGGCATGCAGGAGAAAGAAATGTAGGTTCTGGAGGAACGCCAACGCTGTATCTTCACTTTGCCTCAATTGATGCTTTCCCGGAATCCAGTCAGCCTCCAGATAATCTTGCCAGGTGTCTATCCAACATGAAGCTGACTGATTTATAGTTACCTGGGAATTATACATCCAGTGTATGATGTGTCGTAATCGATAAGCACAGCCAGTTCCACTCACAGAGACCGTGCATTATCGTTCGTCCGGTTTTGTCTCCCTAGCTCAATTGGCTTTTAAACCCTAAACGAAGGCTTGACAGCTTACTCCTGCGTACCTGGTGTAGGATTGTTGCTGGCGTAGGTACTATGCATTGAGCGACATGAGAACCAAGTAATCTAGTGAAATGGTCGGGATCATTGCAATGGCAACGAACTAGGGTTGTTTTAGACAAAGAATCATAGGCGATAAAGGCTAGCAGTGCCGCTAGTAGGGTTCAGGACTTTTTTCAATGAAAGGTGTAAGAACTAGAATACACTAGATTCGCTCGAGAAGCTCTTTGTACGACCTGCCTATCTGTAACCCTGTCGCAATGCTCTAATACGGAAGTACCCGACAGGCACGTGGATGACAGACTTCGGTCGGCCTTCCATCCCTGGTCGGTTTCCTGCCAGCCTGCAATCACAGCGTCCCCCGAGTTTCTCCGCGTTACACTCCCCAGCACTCATGGCGACAGCTATTCGAGCTTGTGTGATAAACTCTGTCAGCGCTTTATCGATACCTGTATTTGGCAATATGCGGAATACATATCGTAAGCTCTCTCGCATCCCAGACGAGACTTCCTGTTGCGTCTGTTGCAGGTGCATCCCCTCCATCTCCATTCACCCTCTACTCGACCCTATCTACACCGTCTCTTCACCACTCTCTGTAGT